TGATTTAAATGTAGGCCAGAAACCCAGTCAGGACACCTCTTAATTTCCTTGATTTCCAGAATGTCTAAAAATCACTCAAAGCTTGTTCTGTGGCTGAGGAGAGACCATAGTACCCACTATGTTGAGGGGTCTTTAATCTTACCACCTACAGACTGAGTACAGGGAATAAAACCCAGACCTTGACAAACACTACAACATTATTCAGGGAGGAAAGTAGTGGAAGAAAGAAGAGCAATAAAAAATAAATTTTAAAATGTCCTTGATTTCTTAATTACGAATGGGTGAAAGCTTCTCCACTGGTCCCTGTCCAACATCCCTGAAAACAAAAGGTCTCATCCTCAATACCCATATTCCACCACTACCAACTGCCCAATGTCTATTTCATCCACTTGGGAACGAAATGTTCTACCTCTTAACTTGAGAATGGAGACCTTTTCAAAGGTATCACTCTATTGGGAGACTTAAGAAGCCCCAAGTGAGACATACCCTTTCATGCATATATACTAAAGAAATATTGAAAAATAAATGTTTAAAGCTGCAGAGGGGAGAATTCACACTTCCATGGAATAGGAGGGGTACCTTTCAAAACTACTCTGCTCTTCTTTATATCCAGCTGCCCACTGAGCACTTGAACAATATCTTAACCCCTGGCTATTACATATACATCCCAGTCCCTTGAGTATAAATGAAAATATATTCTACTTTCTTATACACAGTAGCTTAATTTTTTAAATTTCTTAAACTTGAGAGTTAATTTTGATGAGAACTGAACTGAGGTCAGGAAAATTTGAGATAGACTGATGAATTGATTCATACTCAAATATTCAAATGGATCTCTGATCTCATTAAATAAATGGTTGTTTCCTCCAACTGATACAGACTGCAACTCACCCATTCTTATCTATCCTATATGACTCTTGTCCATCTTCTCCCATAAGTTCATCACATAGGGAACACCCAAAGTACTTAGGGGACTATCTCACTTCCTCTTGACATCTTGAGGATATTAGGAGATTCAACAGTTATTTCTCATTTTTGCCATGTGGCCACCCCATGTTCTTTTTCAATCATTTATTTCTCTAGTCATAACCTTTACTTAAATCTGGCCTCAGACACTTACTTGTGACCTTGGGCAAGTCACTTAACCTGTTTGCCTCAGTTTTTTCTCACATAGAATGGGGATAATAGCCCCTACCTCCCAGAGTTGTTCTGAGATTTTTGAAAATACTTAGCACAGTGCCTAGTACATAGTAGGAACTACATAAATGCTTACTCCCTCCCTCTTCAGGGATCCTATATGTCCCTCCTTTTTTCCTACTCAGAAGACAATATAAGAACTGGAAACTCATTGACAAGTGAAATTGCTTAATCAAGATTCAAATCCAAAATAGAATTGTAGGGACAGCTTTGGAGGAGTGGAAAGAAAAGGGAACCAGTGTGGAAGCACAGGGATACAGCATGCATATAATTAAAGATGTAGTGGGAAAAACGTCAAGATCATTATCACTGGAAGGACTGGCTCTCTGTGAGTTCACACTGCTCAAGTCCCCATTCATTCACTGAATTATATCCAGTGACAATATAGAGAGTTTATACTGGTTCCTGCTAAGGAAAGAATAGAAAGACCATGGAGTGAACAAATAGCCCATAATTCTGAAGATCAGAATTGGTTAGGTGGGATGAAATCTTCAGAATCAGATCCAAAACATTTATTGGACCCTTTGCAGTAGCAGAATCTACATTACCTCACCATAGCTGGTGATCTGTTTGCCTTCACAGGATTTACTAGAGCCTCTGTTAATAAAATATAGCAGCCCAGAAAGTGAAGCCACTAAAATTTATGAGGCACATCACCTAAGTCATCAACTAACATCTGAACATAGACCAATAGGGATAAGAAAAAGGATAGTCTTCTCAAAAAAAGGAAATCAAAAAATAAAAATATTCAAAGATAAACCACTCGTTTTATATATTAGCAGGAAGCCAGCACTAATAACACACTATTAAACTGCTTTAGGGTTTGTAAACACTCTTCACAGCCTATTGCAGTAGTCAGTACAAGTATTGTTACACCAATTTACAGATGGTAGTAACTTCAGAAGTTAACTGTTTTACTCACAGTCACATAGTGTTGGAGGCAGGATTCAGACCCAGCTCTCACAACTGTATCTTGCATTCTTTCCATTATACCACCCTGCCTTTCCCTACTGACAAGCCAACTATCCTGAACCTGATGCAGTTATCAAGAAAGTTCCTGGTCTGAGGGGGCTTTTTCCAGAATGGGGCTGAGGCTAGAGAAGGCTTGCATGAATGCATAGATATTTTTCAGGCCATGGTTAGGCATCTTTCCTTCCCTGATAGGTGAATCCACTGCTAGGGTTTTACATAAACACTAACTTGACAGGAAACCTCCCTAACTCTGGAGTCATTCAGCAGAGTAACCTAAATCCTATTTGGGCTCTAGACACAAAATTGGCAGAAGAAGATGTGGGAAAATGACAAATTCTTCTATCCATAAGGAAAAGGAAAAGGGAAAATTACCTCATAATTCCCTCTCCATTGCCTCACTCTCCAGCTACCATTTCCTCTGTGACATTTCAGATAGTATGGGAAAAGAGGGGGTTCCCTGCAGGGGGGCTGAAGGACACAAAATATCTTTATTATTCCCCCTTCATTAGGAGAACAAATATAAAGGGAATAGGAGGTATAATTTATGACCAATAAATCCAACAAGGGGCCTTCTGGACACTGGGGTGCAACCTGTGATTTAAATAACAAAGTCTCCTCTAAATAAATAGAATACATGAATTTGGCAAAGTGGATCACCAGCCTATTACTAGCATTGCACAAGAAACTAGTAGTTAGCATGTACATTTCTCAGGTGTCATTTCAAGCAGGCTTGGACAAATCACTAAATATAATGTGATTGCATAATTAAAATTCATGTGGCCTGCATATAAATAAATTTCTGATCCTAACCCAAAATTTCGCCATGGGAGTGCCTTAATGCCAACCAATGTCAAAAAGGTTACAAAATAAAAGATCTCTTTATTTAAGCAAAAAGAATAAACTATACTTAAATGTAATAAGAGAATGGTAGTGGTATTTTTTTGTGATGGAAGAACTGATTTAGAAGGCAAAGAATATTTTTTCAAAAAGTCAGAGTTCAACAGGACAACAGAATAGGAAGTTTAAGTAGCCAAAAATCTATTTATAAAATTTCTCTCCACTACAAATTCACTGATGTTCATAAGGTGTACAATACAAATGAAATCTCTCCCAACAGTCAATTCAATTAAATTCAATAAGCAATTTATTATATAAATAGTGTGCAACATTGGGCCAGATCTTGGAAGAGATCCAAAGTTAGATAAGACACAGTTTCTGCCCACACAGAGCTTACATTCTAATAAATGAGATACATACACAGACAACTATATTACAAATACATTAGTGCAAACATAGTGCCATGTAAGTTCTGTGTACAGAAAGGGCCATTACCAACTAACATGATTAATATAATTAAAGAGGGAGATTTGAGTTTAGTCTTAAAGGAGCCGTAAGAATACAAGTGAAACTGAATGATGAAGATATTCCAGACATTAGGAACTCCATGAGCAAAGGCAAGAAAGTAAAAAAATGACAAGATATGTATGAGGAAAGGCAAGTATGTCTAGTTTGGTTGAATGAGAGTGATGGGCACTAGATTCCAGAGAAATTTAAATGCCAAAGGAATTTGAAAATTATTCTGTAAGCAATAGGAATTCACAAGAGATTTTTGAACAGAAAAATAAGTATAGCTATATATAACTAAGAAAAGACTGCCAGTAGTAGGAAGGATGAATTAGAAGGAAAAGGGGAAGTACATGAAAGAAGCCGGCTATTACAGAAGCCTAGACAGATGATACTGGAAACTTGTACAATGGCAGCAGCAAGAATAAGCAGGAGCATGCTGACATAAGAAAAATTGTCAAAGTATTATTAGTAGGACTTGGTAACTTAAAATGTGATGGAAAGAATTAAAAATAACACCAAGCTTTTAGAATCTGGGAGACTGGGATGAATGATGGTGCCTTTGACAGAAACAGTAAAATCAGATATACTAAAGACAGTTGGGAAATATTTGTCTGGAGTAACAAGAACTAGAAATAAAAGGTCAGTTGCTTAGACATGTTAATTGAAGCCTTAAGACTGTATAAAATTCCTATATAAAGAAAATAGATGGGCTGTGTGCTGGACCTAGAGTCAATGAAAACCTAAGATCAAATCCAGTCGAAGATACATACCAGCTATGTGACCTTGGACAAGTCATTTAACCTCTGCCTTTCTCAGTTTCCTCATCTATAAAATGAGGATAATAAAAGCACCCACTGTTCAGAGTTGTTGTGAGGATAGAATGAGATATTTGTAAAGCACTTTGCAAATCTTAAAGTGTTACATAAATGTAGTCTACTATTAAGTGCAAAACCTTGTTGAAAATCTACCTTTCAAGGCTGGATAAAGAAAGTGTCTAGTTAGTGAGAGCAAAGGAATAGTTTAAAGATATAAGAGGAGAAGAAATAGAATGCAGTGTCCTTGAAAATGAGGAAGACTAAGGTATAAAAAGGAGAGGGATTAACAGTGTTCAATATTTCATCTTTCATCTCTATAAGTACTGCCAAAAAGAAAAAAAGACACCACATCTGAACATTAGGACAATACTGGTTACTCATGAGACTGCAGTTTTAATAGAGTGGTTATTAGAACAGAAACCAGACTACAAGTTATCAAGGAGATTGTGAATAGCAAAGAAGTGGAAGCACTAGGTACAAATTATTTTTGAGCTAATAATAATAATGATAGTGATGACAGCTAGCATTTATAACTGTTTTAAAGTTTGCACATTAACAAATACTATCTCATTTTAGCCTTACAACAACCCTGGGAAGTAGGTGCTATCATTATCCTCATTTTACAGGTGAAGAAATTGAGGCAGACAGAGGTTAAGTGACTTGCCTAGAGTCATATAGCTATACCTGAATTCAGGTCTTCCTTATTCCTAGTTCAGTGTTCTACCCACTCACTGTACCACCTAACCACCTCCATATAAATTCTGATAAGTTTAACAAAGAGAAAACTGGGATAGTATTAAAATATAGTAGTGTCAATAGGCTTTGGTTTTGTTTGCTTGTTTTTGTACTAGGAAGACCTGAACAAATATGTTTATATACAGCTGGGAAGGAACTAGTGGAACAGGAAAAACTGAAGGTGCACAGGACAACAACTGCTGAAGTAAAGGCCTCAAAGTAGGAGAGATCAAAGATGCAGGAAGACAAATTAGGTACCACTACTGGAAAGAGAGAAAAGAGTGGGTAATGATTTTGTGAGTTTTTGAGGAAAGAAGCTGAAGGAGCTCCTATGAAATTGCTATAATGTTTTCATTAAACTAAGAGGCTAGGGGTTGGAAGTAGCCAGGGGATATGGAATAATAAGATGGTTGAACAGATACTGTGTGGGTTGGCTTAACTTTAGTGCTTTTCTTTATATAAATTTTCCATTTTTGAGTAAGGTAAGTGCTCTGTTTGAAATCCTTAATTATATTCATAAGGATTTACCTTATTAAGGCTTATCTCCAGCATAAATTTTCTGATGCTTAATGAATAATATGATCCAATTAAAGATCCTCCTACATTCACTATATTTATGTGTGCTCATACCAACATGAATTCTATAATGGGAAAGATAAACTGTGAAGTTTTTCTAATTCATTCATGTTTAATCCAATATGAATTCTGATATTCAGCAACATATGTACAGCATCAATCTGCCACCCCATTTTATGTTTGTGGAGTTTGCCATCACTATGAATTCTGTTACTTTTAAGTAAAAGCGTGTTTTTTCACATTTATCATATTCACAGAAGTTTCTTTCCAGGATGAACCACTTGATGCAGAGTAAGCTATCTGCTCTAATGGAAAACTGTCCCCCATATTTTACCTAAATGTGATTTCTTTATTAAGAATTGTCTGATGTTGGATATGCTGTGCTCTCTGCAAGAAAGCTTGTTCACATTCATTATGTTTAGAAGACATCTCTCCAATGTGCGACTGATGTTGAGTAAGATGTGTTTTCTCAAGGAAGCTTTTTCCACATCCAGACTGTTTCTGTCCATTATGCATTGTCTGATGCCGAGTTCGTTGAGTACTCCACCGGAAGGCCTTCCCACATTCATTACATTCATAAGGCTTCTCTCCAGTATGACTTATATGATGTTGAGTAAGCTGGGTGCTCAGGCGGAAGGCTTTCCCACATTCATTACATTCATAAGGTTTCTCTCCCGTATGAATTGTCTGATGTCGAGTAAGCTGCGTTTTCTGGCGGAAGGCCTTCCCACACTTGTTACATTCATAAGGTTTCTCTCCATTATGAATTGTCTGATGTCTAGTACGCTGTGTGTTCCAACGGAAGGCCTTGCCACATTCATTACATTCGTAGGGTTTCTCTCCAGTATGAATTATTTGATGTTCCGTAAGGTGTGTGCTCTGGCGGAAGGCCTTTCCACATTCATTACATTCATAAGGTTTCTCTCCATTATGAATTGTCTGATGTCGACTAAGCTGTGTGCTCTGATGAAAGGCCTTACCACATTCACTACATACATAAGGTTTCTCTCCCGTATGAATTGCCTGATGTCTAGCGAGTTGTGTGCTTAGGCGGAAGGATTTCCCACATTCATTGCATTCATAAGGTTTCTCTCCAGTATGAATTGTCTGATGTCGAGTAAGCTGTGTTCTTTGACGGAAGGCCTTCCCACATACATTACATTTATATGGCTTTTCTCCAGTATGAATTCTGTGATGGTAAGTAAGGGATGATCTGTGACTGAAGACTTTCCCACATTCATTACATTCATGGGGTTTTTCTCCAGTATGAATTGTCTGATGTTCAGCAAGGTGTGCACTCCGGCGGAAGGCCTTGCCACATTTGATACATTCATAAGGTTTCTCTCCAGTATGGATTGTCTGGTGTTGAGTAAGCTGTGTGCTTTGGCGAAAGGCCTTTCCACATTCAGTACATTTATAAGGTTTTTCTCCATTATGACTTGTCTGATGTTCAGTTAACTGTGTGCTCAGAGAGAAGGTCTTGCCACAGTCATTACATTTATGGAGTTTCTGATGGCAAGTGAGTTGTATATTTTGACTTAAGATTTCTCTATGTTCATTATAATTACAAGGTTTCTCTGCAGCATGAATTCTATGATGGGAAATAAGGGGAGAACTGTGATTGACGGCTCTCTCACATTCATTAGGTTTCTCTCCAGTATGCTTCCTAGAATATTGAAAAAGACCTCAATTATAATGGAAAGATTTCTCACATTATTTAAAAGCATGAAATGCCTTGTAAGCAGATTCTGTTATATCTGCTTAAGGTGAATAATAGCTGAACCTCTTTTTGTTTATAGCATATTTCTATAGATTCTTATAGGAACTATTGGCTGTGGAAAAAGGAGTGACCTTGAACAGAAGTTTCTATTATATTTATTACATTCATGGCTTCTCATTTTTCGGAGTTTTTCCAGCTCAGTGGCTCCCATTACCACTATAATCAAATAAAAATCTTCGTTTGGCAATTAAAACACTTCTCAACATGGCTCCCGCTTGCTTTTCCAGCTTTATTCCCTTTCATTACTCCCCTCTAAATACTGTGTCATCCAGCTAAACTGGCTTTCTTGATGCTCCTTACACAATTCCATCTTCAATCTCTGCCTTTGCACAAGCTTTTCCCCTTGCTTGGAAGATACCCCCTCCTCCTGCCTATACCGTAAACTCCTTACTTTCCTTCAGAGTTCAGCTCATGCTCTACCATCTACCTGAAACACTTCTGAATTCCCACTACTCGCCTCCACAGTTGCTAATCTTCTCTCCAAAATAATTCTCATTTATTTTATATATACTTATGTGCAAATATATTGTCTCCCCAGACGACAGAAAAGTAAGTTCCCTTGATGGCAGGGACCATTTTTCGGGCATCCACAGGACCTGGCATACAGTAAACATTTAATAAATGTTTGGTGATTGTTTCTTCTCCATTTTTACTTGCCTAGAATATTTGTCTTCATTGCTCTGTTGCCCCTCTAATATGGCATCACATTCCCAATCTTCTCCCAATCTGGAAACACTTGGATCATCCCTTCTGAGTCTTCCCTGGAATGATTCTTCTGTGGAAATAACCAGCTTTACAGTTGATTCCTTGGTTTCAGGTCTAGTCTCCCAATCTGAAAGAAATAAAAAATATTAATGTACACTGTTTCCTCTGCTAGAAAAAAGGAAACTATTATACATTTAATTCTCACTTGTCTCCTTTATTAAGAAAAATTACTGCCAAACATGAAAGCATAACACAAATAAGAATATTTCCACCTCATATATAGGTAGTAATATACAGTGTTTAAAAAGCTTTTCATTATTTTTTCTCATTTGATCTTCACCACAACCTTTGGGCAGCTAGGTGGTAATAGAGTACAAGGCCTGAAGTCAAAAACACTCATCTTCCCTCAGGCACTTACTAGCTGTGTGATTCTGTGCAAGTCACTTAACCTCGTTTGCCTCAGTTCCTCATTTGTAAAATGAAACGGAGAAGGAAATGGCAAACCATTCCATATCTTTGCCAAGAAAACCCCAAATGGGATCATGAAGAGTTAGACACAACTGAAATAAGAACCACCTTTGAAACAGGTAGGGCAGTTACTATTTTTTTCAAAATCTCAGGCTTTGAATGATTTAGCAATCACATCACTAATAAGTGTCAAAGACAGAGATCAAATTGAAAACTATTGTCTCCAAGCTCATTTCTCTTTTCCATATACCATACTGCCTCCCCACAAAAATGTCAGTTCAGTGACACAGTAGAGAAAGTGCTAGACTTGGAGTCATGGAGACCTGAGTCCAAATCCAGCATCAGACATTTACTAGCTACGTGATCCTGGGTAAGTCACTTAAGCACTGTCTGCCTCAGTTTCCTCATCTGTAAATAGGGATGAGAGTAACAGTATCTATCTTCCAGTATTCTTGTGAGGATAAAATGAGATAATGTTCATAAAATGTTTTGCAAAGTTTAAAGCACTATATACATGCTAGCCACTATTATTACAAAAGCAAGTATGCTGGGCAGTTACCTCAAAGAGATTAATGACATAAGCAAAGTCCTCATATATACTAAATATTGCTAGCAGTACCTTTTTTTGACAGCAAAGAATTAGAAATAAAGCAAGCACCTATCGACTGGGAAATGGCTGAGCCAGCTATGATACATGAATCGAATGGAATGATGTTATTGTATAGTAAATAATAATATAAGGAATTTTTTTAAAAATGGGAAGACATATAAAATGATGCAGAGTGAAGTAAGCAGAACAAAGAAAAACACACATAATGACTATGACATGTAAATGAAAAGAACATTAAAAAGATAAATTTACGGTAATTTTAATAATCAGTCTTGGTCTTCAAAAAAAGATAAGAAATATATCCCTGTCCTCTGAGCTGAGAGATATGGAAACAATGGGGATGGAGTATCGGATATAGTCACTGGGAGGGACAGGGATAGTCTGTATCTGGAAATGAGTAATAAAAAAGATGGAAAAGTATCAACAAGACTTATTTTAAAAGACATATACTTAAATATGTATTGTATACTGTAATTCTGTATTGACTGTCAAAGATATGCATATTATTGATATCTGGGCAACAAACATTCTTCATCCATTTCGTCTTTCTTGTGTATCTGGACAGGTCAAATTTCTTTGAGTAATTACAGATCTCTGCCAAAAGGTTCTGCAACATTTTGGGGTTTGATGTAATCAAAACAGTATCGTTCTTAAACAGGACCTCTTGTAGCAATATTTGGGGAGGGTATGGATGACAATCACACAGGACGGGCAGGAATCAATGGATTGTAATCTTCATTGTTGGAAGAGGCTAATGAATCAATAAGATTACAGATGCATTTAAGTATTGTGTATGTGTTGCTCCAAATAGCAAAACTAGAAAAAATGGGTGAAAGTTCGAGGGAAGCCACTTTCAGTGAAACACAAGAGTTCAACACTTCCACAATAAGAATCATCTAATCTCAGACAGGCTGCCTCATGAAACATATAATGACTGGGGTAGAAGAAATCTTAGAGTTTCTGTAGCCCAAAACCTGATTTTTTTCTTTTAATATTTTATCATTCTTTTTTTACATCACTATCACTTCCCACTGACTCTCCCCACCTCCAAAATGAGCTCCCTTGTTAACAAGTATTGTCATGTTTTATCATCAATCTTATAAAGTTATAGTCACTGCATCAATGTTTTGAAGTTTTCCAATTTTTTTACATTATCACTGATATCATATAAATTGTTCTCCTGACTGCTAATTTTGCTTTGTGTCATTTCATACAAGTCTTCCCAAATTTCTCTTAATTCTTCATAGTCATTACTTCTCATGGCACAGTAATAGTACCTACATTTACATGCCGCAATTTATTTTACCATTGCTCAAATGATGGGCTTTGTTTCCAGTTCTTTGCAACTACAAAAAGTGCTGCTACATATATGTGAATATATTTGGGACCTTTCCCTCTGTCTTTGGTCTTCAGGATACATCTAGTAATAAGATCAATGGAGCAAAGGGTATGTACATGTTTAATTACTTGTGGCCCCCACAACAACTAATTAACTAAATGAGAAAAATAAGGCTGAGAGACTCAATGATTTACCCAAAAGCACACAATAATTTACATCACAGCAGGGTCTACAAATTTAAATTTCAACTCTCTGTTCATACTACACTGTGCTACATCCCCACAATGGAGAAGTTTACTCTATCTGAAACATATAGACTAGAAGATCATCAGTTAAGCATACTATAGAAAAGATTTCCTGCACTGGGTGGGCCACAAGGCTGAAAAGTCCCTAAGTTTTCGTGTAACTCTAAAAATCTTTGATTCTAAATCTTGATAGTCATGTGTGTACTACCAATCGTTAGAACAATGAAAGAAAGAAGAAAAATTAGGCTGCCTAACCCTGTGTCTTTTTCTCCCCTAGGACTGCTGAATGTTTTCAGGTTTATGAGCCTCCCTCTGTCCTACCCTCTGGAAAAAATGTTTCTGGGTACCAAGGTACTCTGCATAAGGAAAATAATGAAACACTGTCAGGCAGTTAACAAATCTAAAAGAATACATATTAAAAGAATCACTCATTTCCAAAAGTAACGAATGGATGGGACCTAGGGAGAACAAGGCTTTAAATGAACAAAGTAAGTTTACTAAAAATATTACCTACAAAGAATATGTGGCTCTGACAGCTCTCAAATACAGCCTTGAGAATGGGGAAAAGATAAGAAGGGGTAAGAATAAGCCCAAAGAATAACAGGAACAGGATAAATATCAGACGATGGAGGTTTTATAGAGACACTCTGAGATTATAATCAAAGCCCTCACCTTGTCACATCAGCAGTACTGTAATAGAATCTAAACTGGTCTCCTTACTTTATTTTTCTTTCCATTACCACTTCACTCTACAAATGGGTACCAGATTAATTATTTTATAACACCAACAACTTCAAGTTATAATTCACAAAGATGTATGTCAGCAGCAGGGGCAATAGAAAAGAGTACTTCACTTGGATTCAGAAAGAACTAGGTACAAATCTTGCCTCTAACATTTACAGCTATGTAAACCTGAGCAAATTACTTAACCTCTCTTAGACTCAGTTTCCTAATCTGTAAAAGGCAGATACAACCTGTAGTACTTACAGAAGAAGAGTGTTATGTGGTTCAAATGAAATAAAGTACATAAAGCACTCTGCAAACCTAAAATCGTTATATAAATGTCATTTCTACTTTATTATTATTATGTTACTGCCCTATGCAAAAACCTTCAATGGTTACTTCCTGAAGGACTCTATGAATACTTACCAGTTATTCACAAACCTGAAACATACTCATTTATCACCTGTAACTGGCAGAATTTTTGTCTTCTACCAAGGTTCAATACATGGCCATTTCTGTTATAAAGCCTTCCATAATACCTCCCCCTATTACTATGACTCTCTCTCCTCAAATTCCTTTGCATTTACTCATCTGTGAAAATGTTTTACTTCCCTCACTCCCCAACAGAATTTAAGTTCCCTGAGGACAGACTGCTTTGTTTCATATTTGTATATCTGGAAGTTTCTAGCACAGTGCCCCAAACTTAGGTGCTCAATGAATTGCTTTGATGAGGCAAGAAAATGAAGTAATTATGAGATACATTTTAAAACAAGATAAAGAAATGAGGATAAAGGTGAAGGAATTATTCCAATGTGAAACTCCTTATCTTGAATGAAAGGGAGAAGATGATGAACTGTCATATTAAAGAACTGGAAACAGTGGGTACCCATCAGTTGGAGAATGGATGAATAAATCATATATGAATTTAACATAATTTTATTATACCAAAAGAAATGATGAATAGAAAGTATTCAAAGAAGTAGAAAAAGATTCATATGGACTGATGCAGAGTAAAGTGAGAAGAACTAGGGGAACAATTTATACAATGATTACAAAAAAGGAAAACTTTGAAAGACTTAAGTCTAATCAAATAATGACCAATCATGATTTCAGAAGACTGATGATTAATGCTTCCCACCTCTTGACAGTAAGGTGATAGACTAGAGGCACAGAATGTGAAATACATTATCAGACATGGCCAATTGTAGTTTTCCCTTGCTTGGCTATGCTCTTTTGTTAAAAAGGAAAGCAGAGATAGTGAATGAAGGAAAATTAAAATAGAGAAAAAATTATCAATAAAACATTAGTAAAATACAAAGATAAGAGGATAAGCAGGTTTTGACGGAAACACAGACGAGAAAGACAGTTTTGTTACGATCATGTTAAATCAACGACGTACTTAGTTCAGTTCCATGTACAATCTTCTTTTCTGTTCTCTAAATACTAAAATGTTTATGCTTAAGCTCATAATAAAGAAAATTTAAAATAGAATCAATAGCAAGCTTTGTCTCTAGAGCACCTCCACAACACCTTTTGTGTCTGTCCCTTCTCTTTTTTCATTCACATTACCATTACCCTAGATAGAGCCCTCATTATCTGGCACCTGGATTATCACAATCTAATTGGTCTCCCTGAATCTAGTGTCTCTTTCCTCCAACCCATCTTCCACACAGCAGCCAAACTGATATTCCTAAAACAGATTTGACCATGTCACTCCCCTACCCCCAAATCCTTACCACTAAGGATCCCTGTTGCCTCTAGGATAAAAAATAAAATCCTGAGCCTGGCACTTAAAGTCCTCAATGATATGGGTCCTACCTACCTGTACAATCTTATTTCATATTATTCTATTTTATGCATACTCTCTAGTCAAATTAGCCTACTAGCTGTTCATTATTCACATTAAATGTCCCACCTCTTTTTCTTTGCAAAGCCCCTCATTCTGAAACGCCAAGCTAGGTGGCAAAGTGGATAGAGTACTGGGCCAGGATTCAAGAAGATCTGAGTTGAAATTCAGCCTCAGATACTTACTAGCTGTGTGACCCTGGACAAATCATTTAATCTGTTTCCCTCAGTTTCTTGAGCTGCAAAATGGAAATAATAACAGTACTTACCTTGCAGGCTTATCGTAAAGATCCAATGAGATATTTTAAAGTGCTTTGCACAGGGCCTGGCATACATCAGGCACTATATAAATACTTATTTCCTTCCTCCTTCCCATTCCCAAGGATTCTTAGAAGTCTGAGCGTCCCTTAAAGTACAACTGAGATATGTCTTCTACACTAAACTTTTCCTGATCTCCTCCTTTCCCATCCCCATTAGGTGGGTGAGGAACTTGAAAATTTCTTTGCAGCTGTTCGTACATCCTTTTCATATATTTAGTGTGCCCCCAAGAGAAGATATGATTCTCAATAGCAGGGACATTTCCTTTTTGTCTTTGTCTATCTATAGTCTAAAAACATAGTGCCCTAAACCAAGTAGGTGCCTAATAGATGTATGGTGAATTGATTTGATAAAGTGAAAAAAGTAAATTCAGAACATGCTAAGAGATACTAAAAAAAAAAAGAGCAGCAACATCAGTCAAAAAAATGCACAGAAGAAAAAGATTCAAGAAAGTATGGAGGCAAATAGGAATTTTTATTTTGTTAAATATACATTTTTTAAATGGATGGTTATAGGAAGATAGGTGGGAAAATGGCCACTAAGTAAAGTAGCTCCAGAGAAAAGTGAAAGTCAACTCAAGACATCTCTTCCTTTGTGGCCAGAAGCAGATGAATGTGGAGATATCACAAAAAAATGATTTGCTAAAGTGAAGATGAGACTTAATGAAAACAGCTCATGTCAGATAAGTGAAACTTTCCTGTCCCTAAATGAGTTGCTTGCTGAATGAAATGGCTCTCACCTTCTGGGTTTTTACTCACTCACCTGAATAGATGCTTCTTGGGACTCCTCCCTCTGACATCCATGGTGCATCCCCTTGTTCCAATTGAGAGATCACATCTGGTTTGGAAACTGCAAGCCCTGCTCATTGGAAATGGGAAAGTACTAGGGATAGAGAGCCACCTTAGAATTCAATTCTAGCCCTTCTCACTTCAGGGAAAAGACAACATGCTAGGAAGGTGGAAAGAATGGTACAAAAGATCTTTGATTTGTGTTATTGGGTAGTATGGCCAGGGAGACTGAACAGGGAAGGAAGAGTGTAATCGCGTAGATTTAAGCTCAGGAAAAGGTTAGTTCATTTGATTCAATACCTCCCTAGAGGATGGCAAGCTTTTCTTTTCTTCAAGTATCTCCTCTAGAACTTTAAGGGAGAATCTGAAGGAATAGAGAGTGGGAAGATCCTCAGGTATAATACAATCAAACTGCCAATTTCCACTTACAAATAGATAGAGGTAACCTCTCTTAGCTACAAAAGAATTAGGCAATCTTTGATCTCTCTCAGCACACCAAATAACTTAATTATTAAAAGAATTTCATAGGATTTAGTAGCAGAGGAAGTAAAAAAAAATCACTTCGATAGGCAAAATATGCATCAAAGGGACAGATGTGCATACCCAAGCATAACAGGTTTCTATAGTTCTCCAACATCACATCCTTGTACAGCTCTTTCTGAAAATGGTCCAGATACGCCCACTCTTCCAAGGTGAAATCCACAGCCACATCAGTGAATGTCACAGATTCCTGAAATACCAAATGTATTCCTCCTTATCTAAACACCATCTTTGAAGGCAAGACAGGAATTGTCAAAAGGGGTTTAACAAGTTCATGCTTCTGAGTGTTCCAGTCAAAGTGCCCATTGTGTAAGTTCATTTCGTATTAAATCCAACAATAACAACAACTCACATTTTATTGAAATTTTAAACATTTCAAAGTACTTTACTTACAAGCAGTTATCCTCATACAACCCCACATCCACAATGCCTGGCATATAGCAAGTAAATAATAAGTGCTTGCTAACTGACTCATTTGATAAAAGAGAAGAATGAATCAAAAGAAGGCTAAGTGAAATACTCATGGTTAGTAAAATATCAGGACTGGGATAAAACCAAGTTTTCTGACTCAGAATCCAGTACTCTTTCCACCATATCATCCTATAGCTCTTACAAATCATTTCTTCAAGGACTACAATTGGGTCATGTTGAAACTTCCAAATCATATTTTTTAGATCATCAACATACATGTAAGTAAAGGCACAATCATCCATTGTACTCCAAATATGAATGTCAAGTCATACAATATAATCATTCTCAATTAACAATCAAAATATAATTTCCAAAGAAAAATACTGTCCCTTGCAATTTCTTCCTAATTGTATAATTTCAGACCAATTCAAATTCAAACTTGTTTATTATACCAACCCCAACATAGCTTTTTCTCCTTTACTCAAAAGATTTAAGTGTAATACATGCCAATTGTCAGTAACCATTTCCATAAATCTACAAGTAGAGGTTCCCCTAAAGTTAGCATTTACCTATAAATTTTAGCCAAGCACTCTATTTGCATCAATAATAAAAATAATAATAGTTAACATTTACATAGTGCCTACTGGGTGCTAGACAGTGTGCTAAAGGCTTTACAAATTATCTCACAATAACCCTGAGAAAATAGGTGTTATTCTCGTTTTACAGACAGGAAAAGAGAGGCAAACAGGTTAAGTGAGAGAGTCTGATCCGGATCTGAATACAGGTCCGGCCCTCTTTCCACTGCACCCCCTATCTATTCCTGAAAACCCAGAGGGTGGCTGATAAAAGAGAAAACTCACCTGCCCGGCCTGGGCTGGCAGGAACACCGGGGCCATTCCCTCCTCAAAGCCGCCTCCTCTGGGGAAGGGCAGTCTTTCGGAGGCCGGGCTGGGGAGGAAAAGGCACGATAGAAGGGCAGCCTGCACTTCAGCTCGCGGACATTCCTGATCAGAGACGCGGGGGGATGGGCGCCGCCGTCCGGAGCCTCAGCGGCACCACCGGAGTAGAGGGGGCTTGAGGCATCGCAATAAGGAACGGGAAGGGCAACTCTCGGGGACCGGTGCCCAGGTCTTGTCCTCCCTCTTCGGGCAGGGGTCACCACGGGGAGGCGCGACGCACAAGGCTACGACGACCACCACCTCTGTGACCTGGGGCAAATCGCTTAACCGCCGGAGGCCTCGGTTTCCTCATCTGTAAAACGAAGGACCCGGATCCTATCCCCGCCTACCCTAAGCCTCGTCCCGCATGCACCTGCCAGGGCCGAGGTGCAAGAATCGGGAGGTGTCACGGGGCGGGGCAGCCTGGACCGGGGCCCGAGGGCTGCTGGGACGTGGGCGTGGCTCCACCCTTACCTCGCGACACTCGTCGGGCGGGAGGCCTGCCCTTTCTCAGCACTTCCGGTCCCCTCCCCCAAATCTCCGCCCTTACATTCCGGGACATTTTCCATAAGCAAAAAAAAAAATGTTCTTAAAAATCTTAGGAGGCTTTCGGGAAGTGTAGTTTAGGGCACCAAGAGATTTCTGCGCATGCTCAGAGACCTGGAGCAGACGCGGCCTCGTGTTCGTGTCCTGGGTTCTGTCACACCGTCCTGGATTCGATACGCAGCCGCACAAACCTACTTTGTTTTCCGATCTCCGTCCCCGTGGAAGAAGCCGCATTCTTTAAGCTGAGGCGGAGCTCCTGAGGGCTTCTCATGGTTAGCGTTCTCCAGGGAGAGGGTGGCCGGAACTTGCCTTTACGGGGGCGGAACCTGAGGGGAAGGACGGAAGATCTCTGACTTGACTTCCGTTTCTTCTTTCGCTTCCGGTCTTCCTGGTTTCTTGGTCGTGTGTCTCACCTTTCCTGTTCACATCCGCGGCTTTCTCCAGTATTGTAGCAGTCGGGCCCAGGAGCCCAGACCCACCCAGATACCCAGATGCTTAATGTCAGGTAACTAGCTTATGTATTAAGTCCCCACTCAGGGCAAAGCAGCTTGGCATGATGAAGTGAGACCTCCGAATCTGGAAGGTTGTGTGACTCTGGGCTAGTCACTTGGCCCCTTGGTGTCCTAGGCCAGGGGTGGGGAACTTGCGGCCTCGAGGCCACATGTGGCCTTCGAGGTCCTCGGGTGCGGCCTTTCGATTGAGGCCAAGTTTTACAGAACAAATCCTTTTATTAAGGGGATTTGTTCTGTGAAGTTTGGATTCAGCCAAAGGGCCGAACTTGAGGACTTAGAGAGGGCCACTTAGAGGTGGCTTGAGGCTGCAGGTTCCCCACGCCTGTCCTAAGCAATTCTGTAAGAGGAAGTTAACCGTAACTAGGGAGTGGTATTGTCAGCCTAGTCTAATACCCATAGAACCAATCATTGTGTCAGTAGGGGCTTTCCCTTTGCTCCACTGAGAGAACTCTCCATAAACCAGCAGAGCCCCGTCTACAGGGTGCCACATTTGCCAGATCTGCCACTGGCCCCCAACATTAACCACAATGAGACTTCCTTCTTATTGCTTAATTGCTCTCTCTAATTGTTTTTTTAGTAGCAAGAGGAGAACCAGGAGAGATTGATGTCCTGACAACTTAAAGAATGGAGAGTATCAAGGACGACAGGGAGGTCAACATTATCAAAGGCTGCAGAGAGGTCAAGGAGAACTAGGATTGAGAAAAGGCCATTGGATTTGGTAATTAAGAGATCACTGGTAACTTTGGAGAGAGACTGACAAGTGGAACAGATTAGGTACACAACATACAGAAACAAATACAATACCTTAGTATTCAGTAAACCAACAGACCCAGCTATGGGGAGAAAGACTCACTATTTGACAGAACTGCTGGAAAAACTGAATAGCAGTCTGACAGAAATTAGGTTTAGACAAACAATTCACACTATATATTAAGATGACCTTCAAATGGATACATGGCCTAGATATAAAATGTCACACAAATTAGAGAAACAAAGAAGAAATTACCTTTCAAAGCTGTGGATTGGGAGGGGGGGGTGAAGGGGAAGAGTTCATGACAAAGTAAGGATAAAGTGGTTTGTTGAAGATAAAATGGACGATTTCAATTATGTAACATTTTCTAAAGTTTTCAATGTTTTAAGAGTTAAATTTAAAAAAAATTTTTGCACAACTAAATCTTTTTATTGGGGGGGTTGGGAAGGAGAAAAAATGCTTAATAATTAAATTAAAAAGAATAAAAAATTTAAAAATATACATGAACTCTCTTTTTAGAAAAATGAGAAAGTTCCTAATAATCCTGTGAGATTAGCATGATACAGCCTTGTGCACAACAAACACATCAACTGCTTCTCATTACCATCTATGGAACAGTAGTATTGCCGACACAAGAAGAGTAAAAGCATGTTGTCCTTGCATATTAAGCAATTAGAAGAAGGTCTCATTGTGGTTAACGTTGGAGGTGAGTGGCAGATCTGGCAATTTAGCACCTTGTAGATGGGGCTCTTCTGATTTATGAGAGTTCTCACGTTGGAGCAAAGGGAAAGCTCCTACTGACACAATGATTGATTCAGTGGATGTTAGAGTAGGCTGACAGAGAGAATAAAGAAAGTGACTAGAATTACCATTCCCTACCACCCTTTGGATCTTACCCACCCATCTGGACCACTCCTTTGCTGGATCCCCTTCCAGATCACACCCTGTAACCATAGGTGTCTCTCAGGGTTATGTCCTGAGTCTTGCTTTTTTCTCTCTCTGCACTACTTCACAGGGTGGTCTCATCAGCTCATGGAATTAATTACCATCTCTATGTTGATAATTCTCAAGTCTACCTATCCTGCCCCACTCTCTCTGCTGTCCTCCAATCTCAAATCTCCACTTGCCTTTCAGACATCTTGAATTGCATATCCTGTAAACAGTCTGTCCAAAATAGAATTCATCCTGTCCTTCAGATTCACAACCTAGGAATTATCCTGAATTCCTCACTATCTCTCACCCCCTGTTTCCAATCTTTTGCCAAGAACTGTTGTTCATTTTTTCAACATGTCTCATAAATGCCCCCCTTCACTCCTCTGACACTGCCACCACTCTAGTACAGGTCCTCATCACATCACACTTGGATTACCACAGTAGCCTGCTGATGGATTCCCTGCAACACCAATCCATCCTCTAGCTACTAAAGTGATCTTCCTATAGCATAGGTCTAATAATGTCACATGCACACACTCCCCACCCAGTAAACTCCAGTGGTTTCCTGTTGTCTCAGTATCAAATGCAGAATGTTCTGTTTGGCTTTTAGAGTCCTTCATAACTAGCCTTCTTCTAACTTTCCAGTTTTCTTGCACCTTATTTCCTGCCAGATACACTTTGAACCAGTGACACTGGCCTCCTTGCTATTTCATGAACAAGACACTCCATCTTTCCAGGCATATGCTCTGACTGTCCCCAATGCCTACAATACTTTCTCTCCTGTGCTTTGACCACTGTCCTCCCTGGCTTCCTTTAAGTTCCAACTACAATTCCACCTTCTATAGGAAGCCTTCCCTAGCCCTCTTAATTCCAGTGTCTTCCCTTTGTCATTTATTTATTATTAAACCTGTATATAGCTTGTCCCCTATATATTTGTTTGCTTGCTGTTTCCACCATTAGATTGGTGTTTCCACCATTAGATTGGAAGCTCCTTGAGAGACTCTCATTTTATAACCCCTGCTTAGCACAGTACCTGACACATCATAGGCACTATGTGAATGTTTATTGATTAATTGATTGCTAGGTCCCCTTCCTTCTCACTTTTTTTTTACATCATTTCCTTTGAGATTCCTGACCTTTTGTTCCTCTAGATGAGGAAGAATTTAATACTTTTTTCTAGTTCAATAAAGTGATGTGTTGGCAGTTTTGATTGGTATGACACTTGTGACAATGAAAAACCTGAGAAACAAAGTTTATGCGTAATCAATAATTAGGCTAGCTAATAAATTGATGATCAGTTGTTTCTCTTGGTTTAAGCAGAGACACCTAATGGAGACACTTAATATCTTCAATATTCTTTGAAAGAGAATGCCTCTGACAGGAAAAATCAACCCTGATTGATAAACACTTAAATGAGGAGATAGGGTAAAAGTCTTCAGCCCTCCTGCTGAAATATGGCTTGATATAGCTGCCTCTAGCAATCTAGACAGAGGAATCCGTCTCCACCCAGAACACTCCAGTTGGTTTTGTCCTTTATGAGCTGGGTCACCCTCGAGTGGAGGGGTACAAGGACATCAGCTTATTCCAAGGGCAGGAATTCACCTAGGTTAAATTCTATTTACACTTAACAGAAATAAGATCTCCTAGTTGGGTGGGGTCCCACTCAAGATAGAGAAGCATGTACCCCAAGTATTAGGGCAGTCTCCTCTATCAGCCATGCCCTTCAGAGACTGTCTGACTGACCTACTTGGGTTGGTCCCTGAATAAGGAAATAAAGGGGGAAAGCCTTAATTCTAATTTGATAATTGGTTGTTAATATAATAGCAAAATAATTTTTCTCACACTGAATAAATTAAGGTAGGGACTAATGTTATTTTCATCATATTAGATCAGTGAGAAGTTGAAGATAACAACTAAAACATAAACCTGAGTGGTGGTAGGATGCTGGTACCCTCAAAGTAAAAGGGAAGAGAAGAGGGCTAGAGCAGGGGAAGAGGTCATAAAATCAGTTTTGTACCTGTTAAATTTAAGATATCTACAGCACATCCTGTTTAAGATATGTCTGATGGGTAGTTGGAGATGGGAGAGTGGAGTTGGAGAAAGAGCCTAAGGCTGGACAGGTAGAGCCAAGAGTCATCTGCGTAGAGATGATATTTGAAACCGTGAGTCTATAAGATCACCAGTTGAAATAGTATAGAGGAAGAAGAGATCACAGGACAGAGTCCTGGAATACACTTAGCAAGTGTGAGCTGGATGAGGATCCAGCATAAGAAACAGAGAAGACAAGTCAGTTAAGAGAACCATGGAAGAGCAATGTTACAAAAACCCAGAGAAGAAATTATGAAGAAGAGGGTGAGAATATCAAAGGCTTCAAAGATTGAGAAAAGGCCATTAATTTGGCAGAGATCATTAATAACTGGAGAGAGTAATTTCATGATGACATCAAAGTCAGACTGCAAAGAGTTAGGAAGAGTGATAGGAAAGGAAGTGAAGGCACTTGTAAATGGCCTTCTCAAGAAGTTTAACTGATGAAGGGAGGCAACACAGAATACAATAGCCAACACAGGACAGATCAAGTTAAGGTTTTTTGAGGATAGCGTTGACATAGGAATCTTTTTAGGCAGTAGGGAAGCAGCCAGGGAAAGATTAAAGATTAATGGGGTGAGACAGCTAGGTGGCACAGTGAATAGAGCACCGGCCCCAGAGTCAGGAGGACCTGAGTTCAAATCCAATCTCAGACCAGACACTTGACACTTAGCTATGCGACCTTGGGCAAGTCACTTAACCCCCAATTGCCTTGCCAAAAAGAAAAATGGGTAAAGATAATGGGGGGGGGGAGGTTGGGGGTCGGTGGTGGAAAATTCAGGGTGGAAGGGGTCACTTGTTTATGTAGAGGGGTTATATCTCAATTTCACCGGAAACCCAAATGTGCCACCACCAAGACTTTGAATTTTGAAATTTTTCTTGATCATAACCTCCTGTCCTTCCATTCCTCTCTCTGGTTTACTCCTAAATGTATTTTTTAGTGACTACAGGGAAGTAGTCCTGGGACTGATGGAAAGGCAGGTTGGGAATCCAGGATTCCTGGTTCCCATGAAGATGAGAGGTTGGGGAAAATAGCAAGGTCAGAGGACAGATAGATCTACCTGAAATGAAAAAGGAAGGTGAAGAAAGGATGCCTCTCACTGCCAAAGCCCCAGACTCTCTCTTATCAGTTTCTTGCACTGTTTCCAGTACAGGGCCGGGGCTTTCTGGGGTCTGGTGTGTGGTAGACAGAAGAGAGGGCTGCACAAAGAATGGGGTTTTTGGTTGTTGATTGAGTCTGCTTTTTTTCTGGTTCTCCAGGCCTCAGAGCTTGTGGCCAGCAAGCTTCCCTGTTTTCTCATCCCACCCACTCTCTCAGCTCCACAGACTTGCTTCCTTCCCTCCCAGTCCCTGCCTTTGAACCAGGTGGGGATCCCTGTACCCAGAGATGCATTGTTGGAATATCCCTGGTTCTTTAGCCTCAGGAAAGGCTGATGGCCAGTCTTGTGGCTGTGGGGGCAGGAGTTCAGAGTCTCTTTTAAAGTCTGAGCTGAGGGTAGAGGTTTAAGCATCTCTGCCCTTAAGAAAGAAGAATTCAGTTGACTGAGATATTCAGTATGCCTTGTTCCTTTTATTCTCTAGAGATGGTGCTGACACCCCAGGAAGCAGAGTCCATCCCACTTCTCTCATGACCTTCTGATTCCTACCCCTTTGGGGAATGGGGATATAGAGATTTCTGCCTCTTTGTTCTGAGAAGTACAAAGAAAGGACAGCTACCCCTTGCCAAGGTTCACTTTTCCACTCCAGCTCTGCCTTCTGAAGTACAGTAATGAAGAAATAACAGTGAAGAGTAAGAGAAGGAGGAGGGAATGGCCCCTCCACTATTGGCATCTTGGACCTACCAGGTAAGTTGGAATTTCCTCTCCTGAAAGGGTTCTGTGGTCCACAGAGGAGATTCAGACACTGCAAGGAAGGGCTTTGTCCAGGGTCCTACAGGTAAGTAGTAGGACCAAGACCCAGAATCTAGTGCTTGTTTCACTAGGTCATTGCCTCCTGAAGTGATTCATTCCATAGAGAACTCCTGTACTTGCTTAGTATCCCATCTTCATCCAAATTTCATTTATCAGTTTGTCAGGGTATTCAGATTCCCAAAATGTTTGAGCTAGGGGCTGTGAAGAATACCAAAAAAAGTGTGGTGATTTTTCATTTTACTTATTTTTTTATTCTGAGCTTAACAAACACCAAATAAAATGAGTATTTTCCCTGTGGTAGAATAGGGTCTACATAGTGAAATGATTTAAGATTTTTAAGTGCTCTGCCTTAATACTTGCAAATAACATGAGTAATAAAAACCCCATTTAACAGAAGGAAATGGATTCACAAAGGGAAAGTGATTTGTTTAAGGTCACATGAGTGGAGTCAGAATTTGGAACACTCCAAAAGTCCACTTACAGGACAAGCATTATAGAGAAGGAACCTTTTGTAGACTTTTGTGGTAGTGTCTGATTTTTTTTCCCCTGAATATAAATATTTTCTCCTCCAGCTGGTTTAGGGGTTCAGCTGAGGGCAACAAGACTTAAAGGCAAATGGAAATGATCTTTGTTCCCAAGAAGCTTACAGTCATTTTTGGGTAAATAATGTGTACACAGACAAGCTAATACAAAGTTTTCTGGGGAGATGGTGAGAGCATTATTAACTTTGGGAGATCAAAACAGTGTTTATGTAGTGGGTAGCTTTTGGCTCTCTAATCTCAAATTCTTTCACTTGCTTTTCTCCTTGACAAACTCTGGTGCACTTGGGAATTTAAGAGCACAACTGAGTTGCATTGCCTGGGAGAGAATGTATAAGGTTGATCTATAAAGCAAGAGGCAGGGTGTGGTGGAAAGAGCTGGACTTAAAGCCAGTAGTCCTGAGTTTTAGTCCCAACTCTGATATTTAATTATCTTTGACTGAGGGCATGTTACTTTGTCATTTGTAAAATAGGGATAATAAATATTTGTAATTCAAAAAGTACAATCTAAGTGTGTCATTTTTCTAGGATTTTATATTTTTATACTCTTCAAAATCCAGGATAAACTGAAGCACAAAGTAGGTACTCAATAAATATTTGATTTGTGATATTCAGAAGCCCAAACTCTAGGAAGAAACACCTGTTTAGTTCTTACTAACATCCCCTCTCCCTCTGGGGATGGTCCCTGGATAAGCAGGAATGTATATCATGTTTCAGGAATCACTGACATTTAGTGATGTGGCTGTGGATTTCACCCAGAAGGAGTGGGACCACCTGGATTTATCCCAGAAGAAGTTGTACAGGGATGTGATGCTGGAGAACTATAGGAATTTGGTCTACCTGGGTAAGGACTACTCCCCTTCATGACTCAAAATCTTCCCATCAATAGTTTCCTTTCTTAGTAAACACTGTGAGGTGTTTATGCAGTTGTTTGGCTGCAAAGACTGAGATTCCAAATTCTTTTCAGTAACAGGATCCCTGCTGCCTGTCCCCAGATCTTTGCCTTATGTGATCGGGCCTGCTTTTGTTGCCCCTAACGTGATATAGTCCCCATTTTTCATTTCCTTAGGTCAAAGACTCTCTTAAAGTTTCATTGTAAATTCTTCAATGCAAAAAAATTCCCATGCCCTTAGCAGAGTGGATCAGATGAATGTATTTTCAATGTGAGTCCAAATCCACTTCAAGACACACCCCCACACTTTCCAGGAGCATGATACATTCCTGCTTGAGGTCCTCTGTTATCAGTCTTTGAAACTTACTGGTACTCCTTTCCTGTTCCAATGAGCAGGACTTGCTGTTTCCAAGCCAGATCTGATCTGCCATTTGGAACAAGGTAAAGCACCTTGGATCCACAAGAAAGAAATCCCCAAAATCACCTGCACAGGTGAGTGATTTGAAAGAGGGATATGTGTTTGAAATGTTGAACAGTGAGTGCTCTTCAAAGCTACCCAAGCCTGAAGAAAAGAGCTGCAGCTGATATTAGATCCTTTACAAAAGTCTTATCTGTACCTCAGTAAAACACTTTTCTGAACTCTCCATTTAGTCAGTCAGTCAATCAACATTTATTAAGTACTGCTGTGCACCAGACACTGTGCTAAATACTGGGGATGAAAAGAAAGGCCAAAAGATAGTCCCTGTCCTTAAGAAACTTACTATCTAATGGGAGAAAATGACACAAGAAAGCTGAAGAAGTAGGGGGAGTGGGAGGTGCGGTAGTCCAGAGAAATGCTCATTGGGAAATGAAGAAATGACTGCCCTGGAGGTCCTCCTTAAATGGAGATTCTTGGAAGAGCATACCTTCCAGTATGAGGGAAGAAGGAACCCCAGAGGTAAAGGGCCCAGAGGAGGTATGAGTTCCAAGGCTTAAATAAGATCTTGCAGGATGAAAAGGTCCCTGGGGCATGATGAGGAAGAGAAGTCTAGATGACTTTAGTATTACCTTATCTGTAAGAATTGTTATCTTACTTTTATTCTATATTGCTATAGGGGTTTCAAAAAAATTGCACCAGTTACTAAGTTCATACCTTTTTACCCAGAGATCCTACAGCTGGGATTATTTCCTCAAGGAAGTTAATTACAGCAATAAAAGGCATACATGTACAAATATAGTTGTGGCAGCATTTTTTTGTAATGACAAAAAGTTAGAAACAGTGAGTGTTTGGGGAAGTGGCAAAAGAATGTTATTGTACTACAAGGAATAATAATAAATATGAATAATTTAAAGACACATTAGAAGAACTGTATGAGTGATGCATACTGAAGAAAATAGCACCAAAGGAATATTCACAATTACTACAATGTAAGTAAAGGCAACAAAATTCAGGTCAAATAGAATGGACAACATTGCTAACATACTGTCAGAGTTATAGCACACATCTTTATTTTCTGTTAAGAAAGTACAAATATGGAAAATAGTGTGAACATAAATTTGCTGTTGGATACTTTTGATGAACACTTCATGAAATGTACTTTGTGGGTTTGTTTGGGAGGTTTATCTAATTTTTAAAAATTTTAAATCTTATGTTTATTGATAGCTTCTGTTCTTATAACATACTCATTTCTGAACATATCCCTGCTATCTTGTCCTACTCAGTGAACCATCCCTCATAAACAAGATTAAAAAAGAAAGAGGGAAACGTGCAGTTCAGCAAAACTTAACTGGTAGATCAAATTGTGTCTGACACAATATGTAATATTCCATGTCTCTACTCTCCATATCTGTGAAGAGGAGAGGTCAGGCATTGTTTTTCCCAGTTCTAGGGATAAGTTTGGTCATTATAATTATAAAGCTTTTAGTTTCTTTTTTTGCTATTCCTTCATTTACATTGTTGTGGTCATTGTGTATATTGTTTTCTTGATTGTGCTAGATGTGAGCCTGGGGAAGGGGAGAAGAGATCAATCAATAAATAACAACTTCTGTATTTGACATCAACAGAATAATGAAGGGAAGATTGAGAAGAGGAATCCTTTTATAATAGCTATAAAATAGTAAGCAAATGAGGGTAGGTAAATAGGGAAGGCTAGGCGGTCTTAAAGCAGTATAACTAGGAAGTGTAGGAAAGGGTTAAAAAAAAACCTTTTAAAAATCTACAGAGGAGCAGCTAGGTGGTACAATGGATAGAGTTCCAGCCTTGGAGTCAGGAGGACCTAAGTTCAAATCCAGACTCTACCAGCTGTGTGGTCCTGGGCAAATCACTTAACCCCAATTGCCTCACCAAAAAGGAAAAACAACAACAAAAAAATCTACAAAGATAGAATTGCTTTATAAGCTAGGTTTAATGATGTGGTTGTGTCTCAGTACTTGTAAAACCCAAGGTCTGAACTTTTTCTAGACTTAAAGGTGTGTACTTAGTAAATGTTTAAGACTGGGATTGGAATAATAAGCAAAGGGAGATAAAGTTTACGTTTTACTAACAGGCCAATATTTGACATGGTCAAATCTAGTCATCCATCACAATGGCCCTACTGCTGGATATATTAATGTAGTCAAAGTAAACAGAGGGAAAATCCTGTCTAGCTTTCTACAACCAATTTAGTAATCTCTCAATATCATTCTCTTCCTAGTTATTGCTTAAATATTCGGCGAATTTACTCCATGCGGGGAGGGAGCATGGCGTGCTGAAATGAGAATGAACATCAAAATAAAGAGACTTAGGTTTTAGTCTTTCCTTTGATACTTATTTATGAAAATGTAAACAAGTCATTTCAGCTCTCTTGGCCTCAGTTTCCTCATCTGTAAAGTGAATGGGTTAGACTAGTTGATCTCTATTTCTCTTCCACATCTAACATTCTTGTGATTTTGTGAGGAAAACCTTTTAATTTTGTATAGTTGTAAGTGTTAAAGTACAGGTTCCCAATCTGTGGGCCATGGACCCTGCGGAGACTGTGGGTATCTTATAAGGGATCTAAAACTCCACACTACGCATTGTAATCAAGTAATAAATCCTAATCATACAACTATTATCATGTGAGGTTCTTTGAATTTTTTGTCATTAAATAGTTGGTCATAATATTTAAAAGGGTCAAAGCACCCAACTTACTCGACATCAGAGTGAAAATATGCATCCTTTAGGTTGAGTTGTAAGTTGTCTCCCATTAGCTTTTCTTTGTTACTTCTAGTTAAGAGTTAGAATTAAATTTAGAGTTAGGGAGATATTGTATCTTCTCATTTCATAGAAAAGAAAAATGGTGTAGTGGAAAGAGTGATGATTTGGGAGTCAGAGGACCTAAATTCAAATCTTTGCTTTGCCTGTATGACCTTAAGTGTATAACCTTTCTGGGCTTCAGTCTTCTCATCTGTAAAATGAAGGGTTCAGACTAGATTTTAAGATTACTTCTGGCTCTAAATATGTGGTCCTATAACCTCTATTAGATCCCATATTTTGACACAATTGCCTTGACCTTAAATCTCTTGATCTAGCAAATATACTAGCTTCCCTTTCCTACTTCACAAGGTTATTGTGAAAACCAAATGACAGCAAAATGTGAAAGCTTTTATATATGTATGTGTGTGTGTGTATGTATCTCATACATACATATATGTGTGTGCGTATGCGTACATATCTATATATATGATTGTATAGCTATATTATAGCATCATCATTCTTCCAATTAATGTTTAATAGCCCTTTTTCTTAATGGAGACAAAAGACATGACTACATGGCAGCTTCTTTTCTCATAGCAAAGAGAAAGCATGGTTGAGGGGAGGGCCAGTAATTTATGGTTTTATTTCTTTCAGGTTGGGAAAGTAGGCCTAAAACCAAGAAGTCTACTAAAAACCTGGACGTTTCCATAGAAAAATCATCCCAAGGAAGATCCACAAAGGATGGTTCCCATATTTCCAATTTGGGAGAAGTTTGGAAATGTAATGGCACTTTAGAGAAGCATAAGAAGAAACATTCTAGGCAAGTTAAAATCACACCAAGAAAAGTGGTATACCAGAAGCTTCAAGTTCAATCCTTGGTTTACTATTGATAGGCCTTATGGGAAAATAATTACTTATATATTATATTATTTTACATATGTGTGTATGTATGTGTACATATGTGTTTTGCATATTCGTGTGTGTGTGTGTGTGTGTGTGAGTGTGATTACTTCAGATGGCATTTCAGACCTAAGGAAAAGATATTATTCAAATATATTCCCCAGCTTTGCATACATATTAGCATACAACCTTGTGATGTAATGAATGTTGCAAAGCCTAAAGTGACATGTCATCTATCTTGCTTACCATTACAGAATTTGTACTGGACAGAAGTTTTACAAATGTAATCAACATGGGAAGACTGTTCATCATAACATTCACTTTACTCAACACCAAAGAATTCATACTGGAGAGAAACCTTATGAATGTAGTAAATGTGGGAAGGCTTTTCACCAGAATACATCCCTTATTCAACACCAGAGAATTCATACTGGAGAAAAACCTTATGAGTGTAATGATTGTGGAAAGACATTTATCCTGAAGTCAAAACTTATTCGACATCAAATGTTGCATACTGGAGAGAAACCCTATAAATGTAATCAGTGTGATAAAGCTTTTAATAGGAACTCTTCTCTGGCTTACCATAATAGAATTCATACTGGAGAGAAACCTTATGAATGTAATACATGTGAGAAGGCATTTCGTAATAAAACTCACCTTACACAACACCAGAGAATTCATACTGGAGAGAAACCTTATGAATGTAATACATGTGGGAAGGCTTTTCACCAGAATACATCCCTTAGTCAACACCAGAGAATTCATGCTGGGGAAAAATCTTATGAGTGTAATGATTGTGGAAAGGCATTTGCCCTGAAGGCGAGACTTATTCGACATCAAATGTTGCATACAGGAGAGAAACCCTATAAATGTAATCAATGTGATAAAGCTTTTAATAGGAACTCCTCTCTTGCTTACCATAAGAGAATTCATACTGGAGAAAAACCTTATGAATGTAATGAATGTGGGAAGGCATTTCGTAATAAAACTCACCTTACACAACACCAGAGAATTCATACTGGAGAGAAACCTTATGAATGTAATACATGTGGGAAGGGTTTTCACCAGAATACATCCCTTATTCAACACCAGAGAATTCATACTGGAGAAAAACCTTATGAGTGTAATGATTGTGGAAAGGCATTTGCCCTGAAGACAAGACTTAATCAACATCAAATGTTGCATACTGGAGAGAAACCCTATAAATGTAATCAATGTGATAAAGCTTTTAATAGGAACTCTTCTCTTGCTTACCATAAAAGAATTCATACTGGAGAGAAACCTTATGAATGTAATACATGTGAGAAGGCATTTCGTAATAAAACTCACCTTACACGACACCAGAGAATTCATACTGGAGAGAAACCTTATGAATGTGATGAATGTGGGAAGGCATTTCGTCGTAAAACTCACCTTACACGACACCAGAGAATTCATACTAGAGAGAAACCTTCTATATGTGGGAAGGCTTTTCACCAGAACACATACCTTACTAAACACCAGAGAATTCATACTGGAGAAAAACCTTATGAGTGTAATAATTGTGGAAAGGCATTTGCCCTGAGGACAAGACTTATTCGACATCAAATGTTGCATACTGGAGAGAAACCTTATAAATGTAATCAATATGGTAAAGCTTTTAATAGGAACTCTTCTCTTGCTTACCATAAGAGAATTCATACTAGAGAGAAACGTTATGAATGTAATGAATGTGGGAAGGCATTTCATCATAAAACTTACCTTACACAACACCAGAGAATTCATACTGGAGAGAAATCTTATGAATTATAATACATATAGGAAGACTTTTCACCAGAACACATGCATACCTTACTAAACACCAGAAAATTCATACTGGGGAAAAACCTTGAGTGTAATAATTGTGGAAAGGCATTTGCCCTGAGGACAAGACTTATTCGACATCAAATGTTGTGTACTGGAGAGAAACTCTATAAATGTAATCAGTATGGTAAAGCTATTAATAGAAACTCTTCTCTTGCTTACCATAAAAGAATTCATACTGGAGAGAAACCTTATGAATGTGATGAATGTGGGAAGGCTTTTTATCATAAAACTCACCTTACACAACACCACAGAATTCATACTGAAGAGAAATCTTATGAAAATAATACATGTGGGAAGGCTTTTCACCAGAATACACACCTTATTCAACATCAGAGATTCATACTGGAGAGAAACCCTACCAATGTAGCATGTGTGAGAAGGCCTTCTTTTGAAGCTCATCACTTATTTCTCACCACACAATCCATACTAAAGAATAGCCCTATAAATGCGATGACTGTGGCAAAGCTTTCACTGATAAGTCATTGCTGTCTTATTACAGAATTCATATAGGAGAGAAACCATATGAATGTAGTGAGTGTGGAAATACTTTCTGCCATCACTTGTAACTTGTCAAGCATCAGAAAATTCAGTGGGGGAAAAAACCCTGAATATAAGGTTTTCAGCAAAAGCATTAATCATACTAAAAATTAGAGAATTCATACTAAATCAAGTCTATAAATGAAGCTTCTCACTGTCTGATTTCCCACATTGAATGTTTCAAAGCCTTTTTGTCTCAAGCTTTCACAGGTTCTACCATGCTGGAAAGGCTTCAAGTGTGGCCTACCTGCTGATTGAGTAGATCACAGAACCAACTTAAATGAGAGAAATGATTAGATTAATACTAACGCACCTGAATTGCTATGATAAGCTATAATATATAATAATTATAATAAGTATATGGGGAAGATCTTACTGTTTTGATCTGAATTTGTAGTCGTTCCATGGCGCAAGCAAGAGCTAAATTAGTGCTTGAATTTGTCATATGTATAAGATTCAGTTCCTGAAGTATCTCATTCTTTCAGAATGATATGGATATAATTAGAAAAAGTTTAAGAAGCTTGTGAAACAAAGATATAAGTCTATTAAGTTGTGAGGTTAAAGTTAGGAACCTTTTTTTTTTCTTTTAAGGAATAGGACTTCAATACAGTCAGTTATCTTAGTGGAGAGTAACTTATGAACTATCTTGTGTTACCTTAATAGGAATCTGATTTTACTTATGTTTATTTAATGTAGAATTAGAAAATATATATACAGCATGTCCCAAAATGCAAACAAATTAGTTAAATGTCATCTCAAAGATGTTCCTATTTTGTAAAGGGCTTCTAAAGAACAGTAGTCTGTTTTTATGTCCATTTGAACATGATTAATAATGGAACATGTTTTGCTAAAGACAGCTTTTCATATAAGCTATTCTCTGTATGTAATTTGATATTATATTTACACATCTCATCCCTAGTCTTTTGTTGTTTGTTACTAAACATCCTAAAGCAAATTCATTTGTCTAATGTTGAACCTAGAGATGAAAAAGTATCTACTTACCATGTGTACTGGTAGCTATGTGTTTATATATGGGATTAGATCGTTAAAGTATCTTCTCATCCTAAAAGAAAAATTAGCAGAAGTGGGAAGTTTTAGGGAAGCAACAATATGAGATGACTTATATGTTAAATAAATTATTGTAATAGAATATGTAGGTCTTGAGCATGCTCTAATAACAAGTTCTGAAAAGGCTCTAAGTATGATCATCAAGGAGTGCTATTAAGCCAATGATCCATGATGCCAACCCCTCTGGGGTTGATATCCGTGAAATGCAGGTGGAATTCTCATGGGAAGGGTTGGGAGAACAACTTTTGGCATTGGTTGATGTGGGAGTCCCCTGACTCAATTTCCCCAGAATGATATTTCCTTTTGAATGGAAAATATCCCACCTGGATGACTTTAAGTCTGGCTCAATGCAGTTGGCTATCTGTACAACTCATTCCTGGGACTGACATCAAGATAGGGGACAGCTATGTCCCACTTCTTTTGTGGCAAATTTCTACAATCATGTTAGGCGGTCAGTATAAACTCAGCTAAGTAGATCTTTTAGTTTAATGCTGAACTACATCTGAGTTACTAAAGTAAGATGCAGGTAAAAGATTTGAGCTATTTGGTTTAGAATTTTAGTCCTTTCTATATTCTCAACAACTAAGTAAATAGATATTTAGCCTTATTATCTGTTACTACACACACATGCATGTGCGCACACATACCTGTATGAGATAAAGTCTTTTAATTTCTCACAATGGTATGGGGATAATTAGGCAAATGATATAAAGACTTGTGAAACCGGGATATAATTCTGTTATTTAGTGAGGTTAATATCATAACTGTCTCAATTCTTCTGTGTTAATGAAAAGATTAGCACAATTAGTTATCTTAAAAGAAAAATGGTGTATGGTCCAGAGAGATCCACTTTTACTAGGGTTACTAGGTTTACTAGGCTAGAAGTTGAAAATATTTTATTATAAACAGATATTTAAAAAGTACTGTTCTTAATTTATACATTTATATATTCCATTCCAACATCTTTAGTTACAATGTTAATTACTGCAATTTTTGAGAGAATTCATTAGAGTCCATCTTCTTATAAAAAGTGTCATGTTCTTGGTTCCTTAGCAGAGTCTCATCCTCTTAATTGGAGAATAAATAATGCCAAGTATAAAAATTGGGTTGTATATCAGCGTGATCGTTGGCTATCCTAAAAATGTAAATTCTCTAGTCTAAAAAGTTATATAAAGTTTGAGGTAACATTCAGTATTTGACCTGGATATTGGCAAAGTAAATTTAAAATTGTGTTAAGACCCATTTTGTAGGAGATTTTTTTTGGGGGGGGAGAGAAGAGGATTTGTATAAGTGCCCTGAACCAGAGAAGTCAGTCAGCTAGAAACTGCTGAGACTACACTCAGACCAGAGGGCTGCATCAGATAGTGTCCTAAGAACCAGATAGCTATATGAGATGAGACTTCTGACCTTTAAATGGACCAATTTTAATTTTTTACTATTGGCTTTTTCCCTATTTGCCTTTTACCTTTAAGGTTTGCTTATTAGAGAGGACTGCCCTTTGATCTTCTCAATATGCCAGTCTGTCTCCCTTTTACCTCCTTACATTGTTTCCCATCATAAGCCCCGTAGTTAAAAACCGTTGATGAAGTGTTTGTCCTATCAATTAATGATTTGTTGAGGGAACTATGTCTCTCAATAGAATCAAATAAGGGACTGGAATGATTATCTCCCTCTTATATTAATAACCAATTACTGAATTAGGACCAGGATTTTTTTCAGAAACCTATATGTTGTTCAGTCTCTGAAGCACATTGTTGATGAATGAGATTGCCTAAATCCCCTGGGGTACATGCTTTTTTTTTTTTTAATATAAATTTATTCATTTGTAGTTTTCAACATTCATTTCCACAAGTTTTTGAGTTTCAAATTTTCACCCTGTCTCACCCTCCCCCCACCCCAAGATGGCATGCATTCTGAATATTCCTTCCCCTAGTCTGTCCTCTTTTCTTTCTCTCCCCACTTCTCTTATCCCCTTCCCCTTCTATTTTCCTGTAGGGCAAGATAGACTTCTGTACCCCATTTCCTGTATTTCCTATTTCCTGATAGCATGTGAAACCTTTTTTGTAAACATGTTTTTAAAACTTTAGGTTCCAAATTTTCTCTCTTCCTCCCTCCCCCCCCACCTCATTGAAAAGGCAAGCAACTCAATATAGGTTGTACATATGCAGTTATGCAAAACACTTCCATAGTAGACATGTTGTGAAAAACTAACTCTATTTCCCTTAATCCTATTCTGCCCTCCCATTTATTCTATTCTTTCTTTTGACCCTGTTCCTCCTCAGAAGTATTTCCTTCTGATTACACCCTTTTCCAATCTGCCCTCCTCTCTATCATCCCCCTGCTCTCTTGTCCCCTTCTCCCCCTATTTTCTTGTAGGGTAAGACAAACTTCCATACCCAATTGAATGTGTATGTTATTCTTTCCTTAAACCAAATCCTATGAGAATAAGATTTACTCATTCCCTCTCACCTTCCCCTGCTTCCCCTCCACTGTAAGAGACTTTTCTTTTCTGTTTTTTTTTGTGAGATAATTTACCCCATTCTACCTCTCCCTTTCTTCTCTGAGTATAATCCTTCCTCATCCCTTAATTTTATTCTCCAGATATGACCCCTTAATCTTCAACTCACCCTGTGCCCTCTATCTATCTATCTATCTATCTATCTATATACATACATATAATTTTTTCCTCCAACTGACCTAATACTGACAAAGGTCACATGAGTTATAAATATCATCTTTCCATGCAGGAATGTAAACAGTTCAATCTTAATAAGTCTCTTATGATTTCTCTTTCCTGTGTACCTCTTTATGTTCCACTTGAGTCCTGTATTTGAAAGTCAAATTTTCTATTCAGCTCTGGTCTTTTCATCAGGAATGCTTGAAAGTCCTCTATTTCACTGAATGACCATTTTTTCCCCTGAAGGATTATACTCAGTTTTGCTGGGTAGGTGATTCTTGGTTGTAATCCTATCTCCTTTGCCCTCTGGAATATTATATTCCATGCCCTGTGGTCCTTTAATGTAGAAGCTGCTAAATCTTGTGTTATCCTGATTGTGTTTCCACAGTACTTGAATTGTTTCCTTCTGGCAGCTTGTAATATTTTCTCCTTGACCTGGGAACTCTGGAATTTGGCTATATATTCCTAGGAGTTTTCCTTTGGGGATCTCTTTCAGGAGGAGATCTGTGGATTCTTTCAATTTCTATTTTGCCCTCTGGTTCTACTATATCAGGGCAGTTTTCCTTGATAATTTCTTGAAAGATGATGTCTAGGCTCTTTTTTTGATCATGGCTTTCAGATAGTCCAATAATTTTTAAATTCTCTCTCCTGGATCTATTTTCCAGGTCAGTTGTTTTTCCAATGAGATATTTCACATTGTTTTCTAATTTTTCATTCTTTTGGATTTGTTTTACAGTGTCTTGATTTCTCATAAAGTCACTAGTTTCCAATTGCTCTATTCTAATTTTTAAGGAAGTATTTTCTTCAGTAATTTTTGGACTTCCTTTTCCATTTGGCCAATTTTTCTTTTTAGGGCATTTTTCTCCTCATTGGCTTTTTGGACCTCTTTTGCCATTTGGGTTAGGCTATTTTTTAAGGTGTTATTTCTTCAGTATTTTTTTGGGTCTCCTTTAGCAAGCTGTTGACTTGTTTTTCATGATTTTCTTGCATCACTCTCATTTCTCTTCCCTTTTTCCTCTACTTCCCTTACTTGCTTCTCAAATCCCTTTTGAGCTCTTCCAAGGCCTGGGATGATTCATATTTTTCTTGGAGGCTTTGGAGTAGGAGCTTTGACTTTGTTGTCTTCTTCTGGTTGTATATTTTGATCTTCTTTGTCACCAAAGTAAGATAATATAGTCTGACTCTTTTTGCACTGCTTGCTCATGATCCCAGCCAATTACTTGAGTTTTAAACTCTTTGTTAAGGTAAGAGTCTGCTTCCAATGTGGAGAATGTACTGTCCCAAGCTTCAGGGGTTTGTACAGCTGTTTTCAGAGATACTTGTAGGGACCTGTAAATTTTCAGTTCTTGCAAGGTGGTATGATAAGGGGCGAGGTGTTTACTCCTTTCCTGGCCTGTGCCCACAAGTATTCCTTTCTGTCCTGTAACTGTGAGGAGGGGTTCCTCTCCACAGCCACCACAAGCTCCACCACACCAGTGTTCCTCCTCACCCCAGCACCGCCACCCAGAACTGTGACCCAGATCCAAACACGGGCAAAGCAAGAGATTCCTGCCTCTGCAGTAGCAAAGAGATCCCTGCAATCCCTCTCTGATCAGCCACTGGATTCCCCCTCAGTCTGTGGGCTGGAAGCTCAGGAAGCAGCTGCGCCCCCCAGGGCCATGCTCTTGGGGAATGAAGCTGAGACCCCGCCTTCCTTTCTCAGCACCAACAGAAACACACTTTTCCCACTGACCTTCTAAGTTGTCTTTGGCATTAGTGGGTTGAGGAGTCTGGAAACCTCCACAGCTGCCCGATATTCAGTCTTCTGAGGCCTGCTCCAGGTTCACTGCCGCCGGCGCTCCCACGCTGAGCTGCGCTCCCAGCCCGGCACGATACACCTTTCTGATCAATCATCCAGGTTGTCTTGGGCTGGAAATTTGTTTCACTCTGTCTTTTTTGTGGGTTCTGCTGCTTCAGAATTTGTTTAGAGCCATTTTTTATGAGTATTTGGAGAGGTTTAGGGGAGAGCTTAAGCAAGTCACTACTTTCACTCCGCCATCTTGGCTCCGCCCCAGGTACATGCTTTTTGATCCTAGATGGGAGACCCCACCCAGCTAGAGAAGCTTACAATGATTAACTGCCCTGAAATTATGTCTCTTGAACTCTTTACACATCACGTAAGAATCAAGAGACTCCTCACTAGTTGATTTGTCACTAAATGATAAAATTATTTGCCCATGAAAACCCATTAAACATAAAAAAATATAAAATCGTCCTTAGTCATGTGTAGCTTGAGTATTAATTGTAGAATGATGCAAAAGGGCAGAGTGGGAGAAGGGTGCTAAGAATCAGTTTTTAGACCACCTATAAATATTAACTGTTGATCTTTTACATGTGAGATATTTGTCCAGGGGACAGTGAGTTCACTTATTTCTGAAAGAATTGAGCCACATCATTGATAGTCCCATCATAAACTGATCCAAAACACAAAACAATGTTTCATATAAATAGAAGGATTGTTCTCAGGTTCTCCTTGAAGAGGCAAAGGAAGTGTTAGAATTAATTTCATTTTGAACCTAGCAACATGAATTCAACTCTAGAAACCCATTTTATATTACAGGGCTTCGAGATGTCTGTTTATTTTAGATGTTGAAGAGATAGAAAAATGTTACAAAGAACTTGAACAATGTTCCATAAATATGTTTTGATAAACAGTGACTTCAGGGCAAATGTGGGCACAAAAGGTGATAATGAAAGATATATTGGAAAGTATGGCTCAGGTTTAAAAAAGAAAAGAAATGAAAGGTCTGTGGATTCAGAAGCCTCATGATTAATTCCACAAATATTTCCAAAAGAATCAGAAAGCACTGATCAACAAACATCATCAGGAAAAATGAAATTGGCTGTTTTAACAAATAGGAAATTACAGTCAAAATTACTTCAACATAATAATCTGACAGTAATGCCAAATATTGGGAAATAGATATTTGCCTTGATTATCACTTTTTTTCTTTAAAGGTAATGAAATAAAGTAAAAATAAGTGATAAAATGTATTTAACAATCACAAAATGTTAAGAATTTGGTACTTGACTAACATAGAACAAACCTTTTTTTTTTCTTCCATTATCGTAATTGGAATTTCTTATTCTGAGTTCTATTATTATTACAAGAGAAAGGTAGCATGGCTTGGTTGATGGATAATTGGCTTTGGAGTCAGGAAAACCTGATTTTAAGCCCTGCATTTGCCCACTGCAATATAAACACATTTAGGATAGGAGCTACTTAGTATTTGTCTTGTTTACCTAGTATATAGTGCCTAGTAGGTATTTAAAAAACATTCACTACAGCTAGGTGGTGCAATAGATAGAACACTAGCCCTAGAGTAAGGACTAAAGTTCAAATCCAGCCTCAGATACATAGTAGCTCTGTGACCCTGAGCAAGTCACTCGACCCCAATTGCCTCCAAGAAAAAAAAATCATTGAATTGAAATCTTAAATTGACACATATTAGTGATGTGACCATGAGCAATTCATTTACTCTCAGTGCCCCCACACAGCTGTGGCAAGTGACAGATAAAATG